TTAATAGGATTATTCAGGCTGAACTCAGAAAAAAATTCCAAATTTTACATAATACGTACTATTTGAATAATTCTGTAGTTTCCGGGAAAATTTCTTGGATTTTATTTTTTCAAACTTATTGTTTTTCCATTCAAGTTACAAAATCAATGATAAAAAAATAGATAAAAGTTCGATCACTTTGATTTCAAATCATCATCATCATCATCATGATCATAATCATCATTATTATTGTTCCTGTGTGTTGAAAATTTATCTCTGGGGAAATATTTTCGTAAATTCTTTCCAGTTTTAGAATCTACAATGTGAATCTGTGAACAAGAGGGGAGACATAGAGAGAGAGAGAGAGAGAGAGAGAGAGAGAGAGAGAGAGAGAGAGANAAAAAATAGATAAAAGTTCGATCACTTTGATTTCAAATCATCATCATAATCATCATTATTATTGTTCCTGTGTGTTGAAAATTTATCTCTGGGGAAATATTTTCGTAAATTCTTTCCAGTTTTAGAATCTACAATGTGAATCTGTGAACAAGAGGGGAGACATAGAGAGAGAGAGAGAGAGAGAGAGAGAGAGAGAGAGAGATTATATCCACAGAATGATGAGAATTTCAATAAGTTTTCAAATCTCTCAAATGATTGGAGAATCTTCCCCAGAAAAATCAAAAAACCAAACAAAACAGCAAACTAGTTAGTTAAAAAACAGAATTTTTAGAAGTTTTCCTACCCTTCCATTCCCTTCCCCCCAATTAGATACTTTTTGGTTTAAAAAAAAAAGTTTTATTTCTTTGTTTTTGTTGTTGTTGTTTTCCATTCGATTATGCAAATGAATTCATCATCATCATCATCATTATTATTTGTTGGGTAAACAAAATCATAAGAACGAGAAAAAAATGAAGAAATTTTCCAACAAAACAAAACAAAAACAATGTTCCTCATTAAACAGGAATTATCGAAACAAAAAAGTAAAATTGATTAAGTTAAAGTTATGAGTGACAATAATGATTACGGGAAATTTCTTAAATTTTCCCGGAAATTTTCTTTGGAATATACAAAAAGATCGAAATTAAGCTTGGGTGGAAAAAAAAGTTTTTAAAATTTGATTTTTCAATTGTTGTTTTTGAAAAGAAAATTTGAAATGAAAACAACAACAACAAACTTGGGCCAATATTTTTTGGCAAGTTTCTTTTTCTACTCACTTTAACATTAGGTTTCCAAGAATTCGTTAGCAAATTCAATCTTAATCATTGAACAAGCAAGTATAGAAAGATCAAGGAACAACAACAACAACAACAAACTGGAGAAAGTTCCCAGCAACAAGCAAACCAAACACAATGGACAAACGAACAATAAGGATGCATGTTTCATAGAAACATGAAACATTCATTTCAGTTTTCACAAACTCCTCACCTAAAATATAATTATGCAAAGTGCATCACTAACCAACCAACCAGACAAACAAACAAACAAACAAACAAAATGAATGTAACATCGTCATCATTCACATACGGTAAACAACGATGATGATGATGATGATTTTTATCCATCATTATTATTTTTTAAAAGATGAATAATGATCATCATCAATTGAGAAATGTAACAATAGTCGATGGCGGAAAAACATTCATCATGAATGGATCATTCACCTTTTTTTACTCATTTGGATTCATTCTGGATACTTTACATAAGACGATTCTTCAACAAGAAGATTCTTCTCTTGAAAAGTTTAATGGAATTTTCATTTTTCCATTTTTTTGTCAACCAAAAAAATAAGAATTTCGTTGCTATTCCGTGATTATGCTAAAAGAAAGAAAGTTTTCTGGAAAGAAAAATTAATTTTTATTTAAAAATAAATTTTTGTTTGAAAATTAACTTTTTTTTCCATCCCACCATCAATTTATTTAGCTACTTAAGCGAAAAAAAAGATAGAGAGATATAATGAACCAACCAAACAACAACAACAAAATGATGATCAAATTATTCAGAGAATCTTTACGGGAAAAAAGATTTTCCAATCCTTGGAGATTTCTCAAAATCTCAAATATCTCTATAGATACCACCAACAAAAAAGAAAAAGTAAAAATTCTTTCGTGCAACATCTCTCGCTCTCTATTGATTCTCTTCATCTATTTTATGCCGATAAATCTTTTTTGTGTTTTCCGTTTTTCAAAAGAATTTACCCAATTTATGAATTGGCAAACAAACAAAACAGAAAAAAATGGCTCGCTTGGGTCTAATCACAAACATACAATGAAAATGAAAATGAAAAAAGTGGAAGCAACGAAGAAGGAGAAAAAAATTACTTCGAAAATTTTTTTCTACTTCAAAAGTAATTCTGAAGTACATTTGAAATGTTCCAGAAATGAATGAATTTTTTTAGATTGAAATGTTTGATTGAGGGGGGAGAATTCAGGAGAGGGGATGGCCAATGAATAGTAATTGTTTTTTTCTTTCTTTTCGTACTGGAAATTGGAAAAGAAATTTTGTTGTTTTGTTTCGTTTGATTGTTCGATTGTTTTATATCTTTTCAATCTTTGATGATGATTATCATTTACACTTGAAATTTAAAAAAAAAGAATCCTGCTTTTTTTTAGGTTTTTTGTTTGCGTTTGATTGAAATTTAATCCATCCATTGATGATGATGAAACGAGCGATTGTTTTTGATGAGTAAAGGATTAAAGAATTGTGAAATGTAAACAATTTTTGAATCAGAGATGAGAGAAATTTTTTCACAATTTCAGTAAAAATTTTCATTAATTTTTTGTTTGAAAACTTTTTCCCGGAAATTTTCTCTCAACCCACCCATTTATTAATTTTTCATTTTTTTGGTAATCGATCAACAAATGGGGAAATATTCCCGGAAATATTTTTGTCCAATTTCCACCAAACAAAAATAGGAAAAAATTACCATTTTTCATTCACAGAGCAACAGCCAAAGTAATTAAAAAAATTTCTGTCCAAACAATTAAAACTTTAAAATTGGAAAATGAAAATTTGTAACAAATGAAACAAAAAAAAAATTCCATGACAACAAACGATCAACGATCGACCAAAGGACAACCAAGGGTTAAATGATTTTTTTACCTTTATCGATTGATAACTTTGCGACAAACAAACAAACAAACGATGATGATAAAGGTACCACCAAAAAAAAGAAATGACTAATGAGAAAAAGTTTCCAGAAACAAAACAAAAAATTCATTTTGTTTCGAAAGTTTTAAAAAAATCAATTTTCTTCATTCATCATTCATTAATTGCTGGAATTCTTATTCCGTAAATGAAATTTAATGAGAAAAAAAATGGGAAAATATTTATGCAAAAATGAATCATTCATTCGGTTCAAAGACCATATTCGTTTGGTTTTTCTGGAAGAAACTTTTTGTTTTCTTCGAAAACAAAAACAACAAAAAAAGTCCATTTTATAATTGTTTTTGATTGATCAACATTTGCATTTGTTTTCTGGAAATATTTCCCAACATTTTCCATCAAAAATAAGGTAAACCTCTTTGTTTCAAAGTTTTTTTTTAAATTTATTGAATTTATTTATTTCATAAATCATCAATGAAGCACAAGCAAAAGCCAAAAAAATTGAAATGAAAATTGAAAGATAGAAAACAAAAGCTTTGATGAAGAAAAATTTGAAATTAAAATATAAAGTTTTTTTCTTTTCTTGTTGTTGTTGTTCTGAACATGCGCACACACACAATTATTGATCGATTGATCGATACATTTCAAAATAAATTGTAAAATAATAATAATGATGAACAAAATGAGATGAAATCCTTGGATGAAACGAAAACGAAAACGATACATTTGATGACATTTGACAGGAAAAAAATGAAATGAAAATAACGAGCAAAATGATCAATGATTCAATAATGATTAGAATATTCGATGAAATTAATAGAATGTTTTTAATAAGCAGTTGAAAGTTCTGTGTCTGTTGTTGTTTTGTGTTTTTGAGAATTACAAATTTGTAATTTTTTAAATTTAAAAATTGTAAAATAATATCTTGGTTTTATAATTGATGAATTGTGTGCAGGTGTTTATAATGTAATGTAATAATTGTATCATAATAATTTTCTGTTGTTTTTTGTTCAAGAAACTTTGCTGAGATTCCTAAACTTTGTTTGTTTGTTTTTTTGAAAAAAACAACCCCAAAAAAAAGTAGCTAATTAATTTGAAAAAAATATGATAATAAGAATTTTCCTAGAATTTTAAAAAGAAAAGTGAAAATCAAAATTTGAATAATTTTCTAAATATAAAAAAGTAATTGATTAAAAGCTTTTTTAAAGCATCTTAGATAAGTGTAAGTGTTAAAGTTTTGTAGGTGTGTGTGTGAAAGTGTTAAAATTGTAGCTAAATCAATCAATTAATCCAATATCGATTCCTAATTTGATTTGGTTTGTTTTTCAGTATTTTTTTTTCAAAAAATTAATTTTATAATTCGAATAAGAGGGGTGAATTGAATTTTTTGCTTCCATCTTGTTTCAGAATGGAATTTAGTTTTTCGTATATAATGTGTGTGTGTTTTTTGAATTGTAGCAATTTACAAAAAATTGCTACATTTTTTCAACAAAAAAAAATTATTGTTTTACATCGGGTTATTGGATGTGATAAAGAAAAAAGGTTTTTTGAAAAAACCAATTGTTTTGACAGATTGAATTAAGAAATTTGAATTTGTTTTATAATAATAATTTCAATTAGTTTTGTAACACAACTTGTTGAGAGAGAGAGAGATGGGAAATAAAAGTTGATACATTTTTGAGTCTCTTGGAGACCTGATTGATTGATTCCAAAAACAAGAAGTGTTGAATTTTCATAATTTGTTTTTTCCTAATGAATGAAATCGTCCGGAATTTAAAATGATATGATGATGAATGTTTGACAATCCAAATATCGAGTATTTTGTTTGTTTTTTAATTACGAGAAATGAATCTGAAATGAGAATGACCAAAAGCGTTTTGTTAAAAATTTTGTTGAATTTTTTCAAAAAGAAAACTCACCTTGTTTGAAAAAGAAAAAAATTGACCGGTTCAGTGACTGCCAGTAATGGGTGTGTGTGCGCGCGAACGTGAATTGTAGCCAAATCGTCAGGGAAAAGTTCCTTTGTAAATAAAAAAGAAAAGAAAATTTTAAATTTTAAAAGAAAAAATTTAAATAATTTAAAGTGTGAAACACACACACACATAAAGTCATTTTTAATTTATTCATTTTTGTTTAAAAATTAAAATTCATCACCATCATTCGAGTGAAAAACCGAAACAAAAACCTTTGACAACCGAATGATACAAAAAAAACTGAAAAAATTTCAAACATAAATTATTCCGACACCCAATGGATGGATGAATGGAGAAATCCATCCGTTTCATTAATTAATCAATGAAAAATTGGGAATTTAAAATTTAAATTTCAAATTTTTTAAGTGAAGAAAATTGTGAAATTTTCCATTATGATGATGGTAATGATGATCATCATAATTGACGATAATTTTTTTTTTTTGATGAGCCATTTTCTTTCAATGGCTAATGGAAAAGTTTTGTTTTTTATTTTGTCTCTAAGTTAATAAAATTTTTGAAAATTTTTAAAATTGAAAACTTTTTTTTGAAAGAAAAAAAATTTAATAAAGTTTCAAATCTCGGTTTTTCGTTGTTGCATTTTTTGTCAGTCAAGAATAATTTTATTTCAATTTTTTCTATACCCGATTATCTTGTTAAATATTTGAATCATAATTGGAAAAGTTTTCGGGAATTCTGTTTCATCATCAACCAAAATTGAAATCGAAACTTTGATTCGATTTTTGTGAAATGATGTCGATATTGAATTTGGTTGGTTGGTTGGTTGGTTAATAGAATTTGTGTTCATCAACAAAGGAACAATCAATGATTCAATGAAAAAGACAAAACAGATTTTTTGTTTTTGTTTTGGAAAATGAAAAGTTAATCATCATTAGATTCGGTACATCAACGATGAAATTGACTAAATTGAAGAATCATCATCATCATCATTTTATTTATTAAAAGTATCGAATTCGATTATAATACAGGCAATTTTGTTTTCCTGTTTGGGATACAGTGAAAGTAATTTTGGCTACTTTCCAATCAGGTAATTTTGATACAAATTTGTACGCATGCGTTACATTTTTTTTCCCAATCAAATTTAATGTAGCGAAATGATGATTGTGATTGGAAATTGTATCGGAAAAATCCCAAATTTAAATTTTTTGCACTGAATTCGATATCGATATTACTTAATCGATAATCACTATGTGTTTGTTTGTGATTGGAAAATTGAAATTGATAAGGAAAATAAATGAGAGCAAAAACAAAACAAAAAAAATATCGATCCAATTGATTTGGAACGATTAGATCGAAATAGAATGACTATAATGACAACAACATTCATAGATGCTGTAGAATATGCGCGTGGGCGAAAAGCTTATTTTTGAAAAAAAAATTCCTGTAAACTTTCCGAAAAAATTTAATTCGAAACAAATAAAATTTATGTTTCAAAACAAAACCAGAATAATAATAATTATTATAGAAAACAAAAAAAATATAAAACATTGACATAAATGCTGCTGCTACACAAAAAAAAAAGATAAATAATTATAACAAGAAACAAAAAACAACAAATTCATGTAGCGAAATGTGCTAGAATTGCTACAGTAGCAAAAAAAATAAAACATATCTTTGTTTTTTTTTCTGGGATGATGATAACATTTTCAAATGAAATAATAATAAAAACGAAACGAAACGAAACGAATAGAATAATTAAACTCTAGAGAAAACAACAAAAACACTCATAAAAAAAAGAAGAGAATAACATTTTTCTCAATAGTTTTTTCTTTTCCCATTATTATTACACCGAATATTCTTTATATTCTTTTCATTTCATTTTCAGAATGATTCATTGATATTGGTTGTCCGTCCTCCCCGAATAATCAATTTTTTTTCGCGTGTGGAATTTATTCATTCATTTTGAAGCTCGTTATTATTATTTTATTCGTTTTCTTTCCCCCATCACCAAACAACAACAACAACAAAAAAAACAACTGCCGGTTATTTTTCATAAAAATTCTGCTATTTTTGCACATTTTTTCCACTTTTTCTTCTCATGCTCTACAATAGATCTCTTTTTGGTACTCGATTCCAGAATAACCTTTAGAATGCTAGAGAAAGCTGAAAAAGAATGAATGGATAAAAGCGATAAAATTGTCAACCATTTTTTTCAGGCAATATCCATATCATCGTCATACAAAATCCATAATTTTTAAAAATGTCATTTAGAATGGAATTTTTCTTTGAGTGGTGGTTGTTATTCGAGAATTTTCCCAGAAACTTTCTTTTGAACCAAGGCAATATTTCATCGGTTCATTTAAAGTTTATTACAATTATCAAATTTTTTTTTCTTCGTTCATTCATTCAATGAAATACAAATAAATAATCAAATATACATAGAAACAAATCAAACAATAACAAACAAACAACCAAAAATATATTGACTATATTGATTTGGACACATAAAAAAACGTAAATGGCTTGTAAAAACATTATTATTACCATTCTCTCGAAGTTATTCGCTATTACAATCTTATTAATTATGACGATTCATATATATCGAATGATTAAACAAAATAGAAAATGATTTGAATTTGGAAATTCAATAGATTTGAAACTTTGACCTTTCCAGAAACCGAACGTTTCTGGAAATCATTTCAAAAATCATTTTTTTTTGTGTTCCAGATAATGATTCTTTTTGGTTCCAATCAGTTCATAAATGATATTTATTTATTAATGTTGTGGGCTACAAACAATGATCATAATGAACTTTTTCTGGCAACGTTCCCTCCCCATTTCTAGAATTTTGAATGAAATGAAATGAAGAATCCAAATAGGATGATTTCAAATTATTCAAAATGGTCATTTTCATTTTAGTCATATAAAAATACATAATGGTCATCATCATTTTTGATTGGCCATTATGTTGCTTGAAGGGGGAGGTGGTTTCATCATAATGATGATGATGATACCCAAGTGAACAATTTCATTGAAATCAAACCCTGGAAAAAATGAAGAAATGGAACAAAAATATTTTAAATGGCAAATTGATTAACTTGATTGCCATTGACATTTTCTTTCTCTCATTTTCAATAATAATCGATATTAAGAAATAATAATCGATTATGTGACTATCGATACTATCATTATTTTTTTGTTTCAATAATTGACATTTATATTCGTGAATAAGTTATAATTATTTTTTCAACTTACCAAATTTATTAATCGGATGTAGTGACTAAAGATGATGTAGCTGCTGCTGCTGCTGTTGATGGTGGTGATGATGATGATGAAACATTATTCGATGTTCGTCGAAATGCCGATGGTGTTCGGCTACGATTTATCAATGATAATGGTTCAGATGAATTTTGTTGTTGTTGTTGTTGATTTGCTGTTGTTGGGGATGTTGGTGTTGATGATGATGCGGATGATGATGGTGATGATAATTTTGGAGGTGATAATGGCGATTTTGATGATAAAGATTGACCATTTCCACCATTATTATTCGAAGTTTGTTGCTGGGTTTGACTATTTGGACTTTGATTATCATTAATTTCATTGATAACATCAACTGGTGATGATTCACGACTATTTGGTCTTGATCGTGATGGTGATCGTGATGATTGTTTAACATGATTATTATCATCATTATCATTACCATTATCGTTTGTTGATGCCGACGTAGAATTTGCCATAGTCGATGTTGTTGATGCCAATGCTGTGGATGTTATTGGTGCTGTTGTTGTTGCTGTCGACGTCGATGATGATGATGTTGATCGATTATTATTTGGTCCATGAAGATTTGTCGGCAGTTGTTGTTGTTGTTGATTCAATGGATGATTCGATATAATCGATGCTAAATGTGATGTTAAATGTGCTGTCCATGCTGATTCTGTTAATGTTTGTGATGGATGATGTTGTGGATGTGGATGATGATGTTGTGAATTAAAATGACCAATATGATGATTATTCAATGATGGTTGATGATGATGATGATGTGCTGAACCGGTTGGACCGGGTGATAAATTTCGATTTTTCGTACCATTAATCGTTGTTGATGATGATGGATGATGCGGAGAAATGTTATTCGATGATGATATCGACGCTGATGTTGTTGTTGGATTAGTTGTCGATGATGATCCGGGAAATAATCCAGCAAAATAAGAACGTGGATGTGAAAATGCTGGACTAGCAGTAGTAGAATTTCCACCATGATGGAATGTTATGTTTCCATTTCCCAAAGATGATGAACGTTGATTCGAACCACCATTATTAGCAGAAGCAGCAGCAACAGCAGCAAATTGTGACCAAGTTGCAGCGTTTTGTAGATCAGCAAAATGACTAAATGCAAGTAATGGATTTGATAATGAAGAAGATGATGGCTGTGGTGGCGGTGGTGGTAATGATAACGGTGGAGGTATCGTTACAATCGGTGCTGTTGATCCAAACAATGCGGATGCGGATGATGTTAAAGGATTACGATTCAAACCAATTAATGCCGATGGTAGTAGACCATTGGTCATTCCTGCTGTTGTTGTTGGGTGATGATTAACATTTGTCAAATTTGATGGATGATGTATCATTGATTTTGCTGTCATCAGATTTGTAATCGATTGATTTGAATTTAATCGATCATTTTTATTATTTATTGTTGCTATTGAAGTTCTTAAATCACGATCATCATCATTATCTTTGTTACCTGTATTGATTATAACCGATGTTTGATTCAACATCATCGATGATGGTGGTGATATTGATGAAGAAGAAGAAGATAACGGCGATGATGATAATTTACCATTTTGTTTCAAAATCATTGATTTTGATGATGATGATGATGATGATAATGATGGTGATAATGATGATGTCGATAATGGTGGTATTGGTGGTGTTATTGTTGGAGAAAGATTACCATTATTATTAATTATTAATTGATTATTTGATACTGGAGATAAACGAATGAAAGAATGAAACAAAACAAGAAATATTTTTAATAAATAAAAAAGTATCAATAAATATTTTAATAGAAAAAAGTGGTAATGGAAATCTAATTACAAAAGGAATGTCTTTCCCTAAGTTTATTGTTTCTTTTCAATCATCAAAAATTTATGATCGATAATCGATTTCTTTCGCTTTTTTGATTGTAGCCATCATCATCAATCTTTCGATTGAAAAATGATTTTTTACTTGAATTTTGCTACAATTCCGTTCAAATATCTTTGTGGGTTTTTTTTTGTTTGAAATTTCCCGCAAAAAATGCATCCAAATGATTTGAAATTGATTTTTGTTTCAATTTCAAAGAATAAAATGTCCGATAACCAAAAAGATTTATTTTTAAACTTGTTACTTTCATAATCATCATTATCGAACCGAAAGAGTTTTCGACGAAAAAATTCCCGAAATTTTGAAAGGAAATTTTCCAGAAAATTTTGTTTTCCAGTTTTTTTCAAAATTCTGGTTATTTTTCCATAAACCATATGTCTTTGTGAATCGCACATATTGCCTGTCATTCACACAGACAGACAGACAAGAATTTTCTTTGGCTACAATTTTTTGCGCATGATTTTTATTCCGAATAAAAAATTTAGAATGTTCAAAGATGAGAATTTAGCCAAAAAAAAATATGAACATTTTATTTTTATTTTTCTTTGAAACAACCAAAATGGCCATGAACAAAACAAGAAAAAAAAATGAAAATTTTCAATCAACCAACCGAAACAATCCCAACGAATCAACCAACCGAACGAAAGATAAATGTGAAAGAACCGCCTTTCCAGTTAATATTTGAATGTAGCCATTTTTATTTCCCCTGTCTTTTCATTGGCTACATATTTATATACTATTTCTATTTATAAGGGGTTGTTACATGGATAAATTCTGCACATGTGCATAAAGAATCGTTATCACAATTTAGCTACAAATGAATTGAATACAAAATGGTTGTTTGTATGCGTGAAAAAAGAGGAAACTGTGTTGAAAAAAAAGTAAAAGATTGTTTAGTAGCGAAAAAAAAATGGAAGACAATTCCATCATGACAATGTATTCAAATTTGAAACAAAAAAAAATTTAAATTCAAATTGTTGTTGTTTTCGAAAAAAATAATTACAATTAATCCAATTTCAAAGTTTTTCGAATTGAAATTCATTATGTTTTAGCTTAAAACTTTGAAAATCTTTTAGAAAAATAAAGGTGTGTTCACTTTTTTTTGGATAATGAAATAATGACCCTACATACACTTACACACTTTCTAAATATACAAAGAAGAAAAACACCTAATCTTAAAGAAAATTTGTAAGAAAAAGACAAAACAAAGCTGATTTGAAAGCCTGTAGCAAATTTATAGGAATTTTTCGTATGCATGGCAATGATGATGATTGAGATGGATATACATAATAATAATAATAATAATAATAATGATTATTGTAAAAAAATTTAACATTTGATTTATGGAAATGACAATAAATTTTTTTCTCGGCAACAACAACAGAGTTAAAATAGTCGTGAAAATTTTCTTCTTCTTCTTCTTCTTCGTTTTTGAAATATAATGACTAACTAACTAGAATCACGCAAAACTATAATTCTAAATCGAATAAGAAATGAATATATAAAAAAAACAATTCGGCCATCGCCCAAAAATCAACTTCCAAAACAAAAACAAAAAAATATTTGAAATTGGCCGACAAATGACCGACAATGAATTTTTTATTTCAAACAAAAAAAAAATGCGCGCGCACATTCTTTCATATGTAAATAAGAAATGCCAAAAATATGGCTACATTAAAATAGTTTTGCCAATTTGGCTACATGTATCCACATCCACATATTGGATACATGAAGGACAAACACACACACACATCATATACATAGAGAAAACTTTTATGCAATATTTTTTTATTTATTTACAAAACAGAAAAAGAAAAAAAAACTACTGACTTAATTTCAAATATTCTTTATTATCATCATCATCATTCTCATTCAATGATGATGATGATGATGATAATTTTCCATTTGCGTTAAAGTTTTTTTATTTTATTTCATTTTAAATAAAATATATAAAAAAAAACAAACTATAATAATAATTTACGACAATGATGATCTTCATCGTTTCTTTTGCATCCATCCATTCTTTTTGTTCGTAAAAATAATAAAAATGCCTAACTTTGAAAATGGTTTTTTTTTTGTTTGGTTACCAACCAAAATAGTATTAAGTCAATGATGAATAAAAGAAGAAGAAAAAAGATGGTTTTTTTTTGAAGAAAAAAAAATATCTCATCATCAGTATGGCTATGTTTTGTTATTGTTGTTGGAAACATAACAACAACAACAATGAAACATTGATAGAAGCTACAATTTTTATTTTTCCCCTTCGTTTGTAGCCATGTTCATTATGATGATGATGATCATGATGAAAAACTTTTGCATTTTTCCTTGAAAAAAAAACTTTTTCTCTTCTCTCAATATTTATTCCTCTTTTTTTCTATCTTCTGGCTGACTTTTACAATAAAGAATTTTTTTTACGATGGATAAACAGCCAAACAAACAAAATGTAGTAATTTAATCAATTTATTTAGATGAATGATGTTTTTGGATGAATCCAAGATTATTTTTTTTTTCTGCAGAATCTAGAGAATCATACGATGTGTATCGTTTTTGTATCCAATTTACTGCTACAACAAAGCTGCTACAATTAATCGTGGTCACATCGCATCCTGCTTTTTTTGACGAATTTTCCATTATCCGATTGAGATTCAGATGTGAAATCAGGATTTTTCAGAAAAAAATGATTCGATTTTAAAGCAAAAGCAATCAGATTAATGTCTGCGAAATGATTCACAGTTTGATTCATTTTAAAAAAACATTTAAAATGATGATTTTTTTTTTTTGAAAAAGATTGAACAATTTAATGATAATGACCTTTTTTTATATCTTTTTTTTTGCTCTCAGTTAAAATCAAAGATTTAATCTGGATGATTATTGAATGAATATTAATCACAACAAACGATAAACGAATTCAAACAAAACGAGCAAAGGTTTATCTTTTCAATGACCAAATCAATGTTTTCGGTCATTTTTGGTTGTGTAAGATTAGGGTGATGATGGTTTATGATCATATATAAATCCATGATGTTTTGAATGATGATCGTTAAAAAGAATTTTCTTTAAAACAACCATCTTTGATGATTCGAATATCCAAAATAAATCAATGATGATGATGATGATAATAAAAAAAAAGAAATTTCAAACACAGTCGGTGGTTAAATTATTATCATCATCATTGGATGATAATGAGAGAAGAACAAAAATATTCAATGAAAAAAAATTCATTGTCATCGACGAATTTGGTCATTTATTTGGATGTTCATCATTATCGTTGGTTTCATTTTTTCTTTTGCTACAATAAACGCTACATGTAGCAAATGGATATGGATTTTTTTTCTTCACAACCACCACCGCAAAAATACATAAAAAAAGATTTTTGTTTAAATCAAGGAAAGAAAAAAAAGAAGAATAAACCAAATATGGCTTATAGATTTAAAGATTGTAACAACAATCAACCAACCGACGGCCAAAAGCAAATCACTTGTGGTGAATTTGATGATGATAAGTGATTAAAAATGGATGCTTTTTTGTTGTTTTTTCCCATTTGCTGATCATTTTGAATGATGGCAGTAAAAAAGGGTGAACCGAAAATGCCTAAAGATTTTCACATTTTTGCCATAATATTAATGAGGATGATGATGGCTATAATCATAAAAAAATTCAACCAAGAAAGGTCATAACTTTAAGCAAAGAAAAACGATAGATTTTTGTTGTTGTTGTTGCTGATTATCCCAAAAAAATGTTTTCACAAATAGCTTTTAGGCAACCAAAATCAAAAGTTTCCAGAAAACTTTATTAGAAACACAGAATACATCATGATGATCGTCATCATTATGAACATCCTTTTTTCCCCCCTCAACTTGATTTAAATATTTTAAATATTCTAAACATGTAGCCATGTTGAATTTAGTTTAACGAAAGATTTTTAAAAGGAAAAAAATCAAACATTTTAAATGAATTGAATGTGATGAATATATAGCCAAAAAGCAGACTGACAAACACATTAACTCATCAACAAAACACACACATAGATCTTTTTCCCTTGTATCACTAATTTTGAGAATATTTTCGGAAATCTTTCCGGAATTTTCAGTGTTAAATGTGTCGTATTTTGGAAAAATTGGTATGAAAGATAATGAAATGAAATGGAATAAAGAAAAAAAATATCGAAACATAACGTACACATACCTTCAAGTAGAGCATCAATAACACGTCCTGGATCATATTTTTCACGTAATAATGCCATCAATGCATAATTACTAATATCTTCGATTGGATTTTCCATTAATTTTCGATTCAATGTATTACACCATAGTTCTAATTGTCGTCGATTATCATCGGTCATTGGTATTGGACTTGGTGCCATTCTACTTGACATTGATGCATCTATATCAATGGAATAATCATATTATTATTTCATTTGTAAAAGAAATTTCCCGTATAAAACATTGAAAAAATCAAAACTATGGATCTTGTCATCATCATCATCATCGAATTGAGAATTTTATTTCCCCTCAAAAACACACGGATCATTAATATGAAGGCGTGTTTTTGTCATCATCATCATAATGATGATGATAATAATTATTGTTTGTTTTTGTCATTTTTTTTGTTTGATCAAAGATTTCCCCTTGTTTTTTTTTTATTATCATTACGTGCTACTTTCAACGTTTTCCTTTTTCTCCTTTTGGTTTGTGTCTGTGTGTGTGTTCTCGGGCATGGTGGTGGTGGTGAATTTTACCTATAATAATCACAGGTAGAAATTGTGTGAATTGAATGAGCAGAAAAAAACCTATTTCAGCACAAACACACACCGACAGCATAGGTCAAATGCCATAGGTTCATTTTGCTTTTGGATCGAAAGGAAAAATCTCCTGTAGTTTTCATAGTCTTTTTTTTCATTTGACATTGGTTTGATTCGATTTTGAAAATCCACTTCAGAAAAAAGTATCAATTTTGATTTTTAGAAAAAATCAGCATTTTTTCCAATGAAAAAATCATCATTTTTCCTACTGTCAGTGCCAAAAAACAGTGAGTGAACAAAAAAAAATATCCATTTATCAAATGTATCGGATTTATATCTTTCATATTGAAAAAAAACCAATTTTTTGGATACATTTCCTTGTGTGTGTGTATATATGTCAATGATGCTTTGATATTTGGTTTGAATTCATCAATCGATTGTATCGAATGAAAATTCGTCAATTCAGCAATTTTTTTTTCTCCCAAATCACTGATGATAAATCCTTTGGGCACCCAAACAAATCAAACCAAAATCAAAAAGTTTTTCCCGATCAATCAATCAATTTGAATGAAATCTTTTTGTTTATTTTTGATCATCATTTCAGGATTCGATAAGCAAAAAGAAAAAATGTTTGATATGAACAGACGATCAAAATCGATAATTTTGATTGGTTTTGTATTGGCGAAAACAAAGTTATTTTTGTTTTGTTTTTTTCGCCAGAAAAACAATTTTTCACCGAAATTTCTGAGTTTTATCACCAACAAAAAAAGCCATTTTGTTTATCATTTACGGCTTTCTTTCTTCTGGTTTTTTATTTTTGGTTTTTTCATTTGCTACTTTCAATTTCGCTACAAAAAAAAAATTAGAACATAAAGGATTCAATGGAAAAGCAAAATAAAATAAGCATTTTCTAGATGAAAATGGATTCGACTATTTTGTTGTTATCAATCAAAAATAAAAATATCAATCGTTTTTAAATTTGTTTAAAAATTGTAGCAAAACAAGACAAAAATGGAAAATTTTTTGATTGATTGATTTCGCTACAAATCAAAATCCACAAATCAAATGTATCGATTTTGATATCGATCAAAACTAATCATTGAGAATTTAATCAAATTTCGAAAATGAAAATCAGTTTTTGTTGCTGTAAAGAAAAAAAGTACACGAAAAAAGATAAAACCCAACACGAAAATCGTTAAATAAATTTCAATTTAGAATATGCAAAAGAATTTTTTTTTTTTTTTGGACAAAATGGACATCAAAAGATTCAAGGGAAAAAAATATGCAAATATCCATTGGTAAAAGAATTACATAAAAATTCTGGTAACATCAAAATTCCTGAAGGAAAACATCATCATGGAACAACATCAACGACAACAAAACTGTCATTTTTAACATTAAACACATAAAATCAAAACAAAATCCACATCAACAACATTTATCTAAATCACAAAATGAAAAAATTAAAAAAAATCAAAGAATTTTTCCAAGGAAAAAACGATATTTTTTTAGGTGATCAGGGCAAAAAACATTCCAGTAAAATTCTTTTCGAAAAAAATTCTCAAATTTTTGATCCAAAAGAATTTATTTCGAAAAAATGAAAATGAAAATTTGCACTAAAAATTCATTCATTTAACCACTCGGTTCTCTCTCTCTTCTTTAATCTTTGTTCAGATTAGATAAGTTTGTTTTGGTTTGAACAATTGAATTTGAAGTATACTTAAATCAATTTTTTCTTCTCCATTCATTCCGTTAAACGCTGTTTGTTTGTTTTAAAAATTTTTGTCCATTTTTTTACTCATCATCATCATTATCATCATTATGATCCATAGAATGACCACAAAATCAAGCACTTTCTTTCTTTCAATGTTTGTTTGTTGTTGATAATGATAATGATGATGATTATGACCACCATCATCAAACTGACTGTTGTTGATTACATTTGAGCTAAATTGTTGTTAAGCTGTCAATGATTATGATGATGATGACATTGTTTTTGCTTTTCGCTAAGCTAAACGCATCATATTTAATAATAATGAGATAATGATGGACTGCGAAAGGATTCTTGTTGTTGTTGTTGTTGTTGATGGTGGTGGTGGTGGTGGTGGAAAAAACCACAAGCCATCATCATTTTTGGAAAAACATTGAGATAAAAATTCTTTTTGTGTGTGTATGATTTACACACTTGATGATAATGATTTAGTGGTAATTTTCAAACATTAAAAATTATTGATAAAAAGTTTTTCTGTTTTTGTTTTCTGTTTTGTTTTGAGTTTCTTTCAAAAATAAAATGAATAAATTTGATAAACCATTCTTTCGTTATCGAAAATGCTATTCAGTATTCTCTTCTCTCCCCCTCTCATATTGATGATGTGGCCAAATGATGGTGAGGGAGAAAGGAAAGGGTTAAATCAATAGATGATGATCCAAAACAAACTATTTTTGGATGCCAATTTATTTTCCAAACAAAAAACAACATAAAAACAAACATGATGTACCCAAAAATGATTACAATCTTTAACCATTTTCACAATTCGGGTAGAGAAGAAAAATTCAACCAGTCGTTATCAACCGAATCACCATCATCATCCGCAGCATCAACAGAAAAATTCATCGTTTTTTTTCTGCTGACTATCATCATCATCATCATCATCGTATAAACATGTAACGATCATCATCAACAGCATCGTCAACATTACAATTTTAATTTTCCTATTTTTTTTATAGAAAAATAACAAACGCCATATAAATATAATTAAATTAATTGCCCATAATTATTATAATGGACGATTATTATTATTATTATTATTATTATTATTGCTCTATGTTGTTGTTGTTGTAGCTTTGTTGTTGTTGTTGTTGTTGTTGTTGTTTAGATTATTATTATTATTATTATTATTATGACAGGATGTGTTTGGTTTGTAAATAATAATAATAATGATAATAATGATCAGAGATGAACGCGTATATTTGCTATCTCTACTTGTGTAAGCAGAGATAGCAAATATAGATTGAAGTTGAATGAAGAAATGAATTTAGATCGCGAAATGAATGTGAAACAAAATAAACAATGAATGAATAAATGAATGCAGAATACAAGATATTCTTGTTTTTCGATTCTTGTTTTTTTTTTGTTGGAAATTGACACGAGATAAATAAACTTTTTATTGCAAAATTGAGATGTTTTTTTCTCGAGGATTCTGTTGGTTCCACGTTGAAGAATTTTTTTCATTGTAATCAGTTCAATTTTTTGGTGAAAAATATTATTATCATGATTGGTGAATATTAATTTTTGCTACATTAAACAAATGAATGGAACATTGTTTTGTTTTGTTTTCTGCTTGTTTTTTTCCTTTTGTTGATGTTATTTTTGGTTCATTGATTCAATGCAAAAATAATTTAGATGTAAAACCCTTGTTTGTAATTGCCTGTTGTTGTTGTTGGTGCGGGTTATTTTTGAATGTTCGTTGAATGTTCTGAATTCTGAATTTTGCAAGTTAGTTATTTTCATTGGAAAACGTTACTATTCAATCAATTGTATCCACCATGAATTAATCACAGAAAATGAGAATATCTTTTTTTTTGGAGAAAACAACGATGGCAAGCTAATGATCGATATTAAATGTAGCAATTAAATATAGAAAAATGAATATTCAACATTTTCCCCTTGTTGTTGTTGTTGTTGATCAGAGATGCCAAAAAATTTTTATGGTTGTTTTTTCAAGGGAAGAATGGGAGAAAACAAAGGAAATTTGCAAAACAAAACAACCAAAATTATGGCCCAATAAATGAGACATATTTTGTTAACTACTACATTTTTGGCAGAATTCAATAGAGAGAATACAGAATTCACAGAATAATCCACAGAATAATGGATGAAAGACATTTATAGCCATTATGGGCCACCATTTTTTTTGTATCATCAAATTTATCTATCTTGTTATCTTTGTTTGTTTTCAGATAAATAGCCTGTTGTTGTTGTTGTTGTTTTGATTACAGAATCGTTTTTCACTACAAAATGTAAATGGCTACATTTTTTATCAGATGAATCAGTGTGTGTGTGGAAATTTGATTGAAAATTTCCGAAAAACAAGAAATTCAAAAAAAATGGTCAACAAAAAAAAAAGACTTTCCAAGGATAAGTCATTTAGGAATTAATTTGTATCCAAATTTTGTTTATGTTTTGGCTTTAAAACTTTTCAGATCAGATAAATCTTTAGATTAAAAAAAAACCATTTCACATCGCTACATTGCCAATGAATTTCGGATTATATTCCAGCAAGAAAACAAAAAAACATTTATGGATGGCTATCAAATGGATTTTCTTTCAAAAATTTGATGCTTATTTTGGATAATTTTTTTCCATCTCGGATGCATAAATCTTAATGTTTTTTTGTTGAAAAAATTCAGCATATGTCAAATGAGAAAATTTTCTTTGGTTTTACGATGATCATTATTTTAGTTTTCGGGTTTTTTTAAACCTTTTTTTTATTATTTTGTTTTGTTTTGACTTTGAAAAAACACAGTGAAAGTTTTTGTTTCTTCTGGAAACAACGATGATGACCTTGGTCGAAAATGTTTTGACAAACCACCACTGTGGTTGACAATTTCTTTTTTATTACAATTTTTCAATTATGATGATGATGATGAAGAGAGAAAAACAGATGTGAACATTGAGAAAATCTTTCCATGAAAACCGGAACAACAACAACAACAAATAAATTCATCAAACTATTTCAACCTTTGTTGGTTGATGATGTGATTTTTCGGGTAATAAAAACTAAAACATTTTCATTGATGATGATGGAGAATTTTGTAATAATTTTCGAGGAGAAATTTCACGACAATCTTTCCAGAAAGAAAAAAATTCTGAAACACTAAGAAATATTCCAGGAAAGCAAGGGGGAGCAAACGAAAATCCGAACCTATAATATTTTCATATACAAGAAAATGGAAATGGTTGAAATAGCCAACCAACCAACTAAATTAACCTTTTTTTTATTCTACCTTTTTTCCATTCCATTACATTTACATTTTGTCACCAAAATTTTCTGCAAACAAATCATACAGAATTGGGAAATTTTGGAAAAAATGGTTATGGTTTTTTCCACTGTTGTTGTTGCTAAATGAATGTAACCTTCGAGCCAGAAAAACATTTTTTCAAAAAAAAATGCCACAAAAGGTTGGGTCGACAAACACAAAAATACCGGCTATATATTTCAACCAGATTGACAGAGTCAAGATATATTCAGTGTTCATTCACCTTGTTGTGTGCTGATTGCTATTTTCTATGCTTTTCTGGTCTAGTTTGATCTGGTTTTTTGCTTTTGCTGTTGTTGTTGTGGCAGTCAAAATAGGTATTTAATGCCCGGTTATTATACATAATAATCATCATCATTATTGATTGTGTGTAACCATGGAAAACGATGATTAAGTAGAAATAGTGAGAAAAAATGTATCCAAAAAAGACGAAGGTTATTTATTTGGAAAAAAATGATATATTTTTCTTCTCGATAGAAATGATTTGTAGCAACGTTGACGACGACGAAATAGTAAAGGTAAGAGAGAGAGAGAGAGAGGTACCTTTTAACAACAAGAAATAAGGTGGTAGATAGAAATAGGCAGGCAGGTAGGTGAAAATTCAAACGACAACAACAACAACAACAAAGGTAGGTTTGTCTATAATTTTTTTTTCGGTTTCTACTTCTACCCAACACACAAAACATGGCTAGTCAAAACATAGCCAAAAAGATTAATTGCGAATCGAAACAAAAAAAAACTAAACTAACTAACAAAATGAAACTAAACTAAATTGATGATGATCATTTCAGAAGAAGAAAATGGCTTTTTTTTTCTTGGTGGCGAAGGCCTTGACAACAACAACAATAAAGGTGCCTTTCTTGAATGACTTCTTCCCTCCATGAAATTACCATCGATTTATCCCCACCATCACCACTACAACTACCAACCAACCATTGAAGAATTCATAATGATGATGAATGTAAAGTTGAATAATGAATTTTTTTTCATTCTTTTTCTTCGTAATCAAACTTTTTTTTTCTTCTCCAAAACTCGATTGAAAAGCTATCAAATTCAATTTGTTTGTTTGTTTGTTGGAAATCTAATTTGAAACATTGTCAATAAAACTCCGATGTTGTTGTTGATCGATCAGTTTTATTTCGATAATCAACAACAACAAAATATTGGACAATGGAAACAAACAGAAAAACTTGAATCAAACGAATGATGAAAATCGCAAAACAAAAATCAAATTTTTAGATAAGAAAATGATTTTGTAAATGATGATGATGATGATGAATAGATTTTTCCTCGGAAAAAACGATTAAAACAAATTTTAATCGTAATCAAAACATACACAGACAAATCAAGATAATCATCATAATCATCATCATCATCATTATGATCAACATCAAGATATAAATGTAGTGAAATTATCCATTAACTCATTAAGTAAGAATAGTGAAAAAAAAACAATGAAAATTCTCATAAACATTATTCAAACTAAACTAAACTAACAACAAGGTCTAAATAGTCGAAATGACTTAAACCGTTTAACCCGATTCATTCATTTATCATGTATCTAACGAGCCATATCATTATTATTATTATCGAACCTATAACCATCAGTGTTATAATGATGATTATGATGAGAATTTGTCAACTTTTTCATTTAAAAAAACAACGAGAAAAAAATTTTTGACATTTTCTTTTGCGAAATAAGATGAAAATACCACACACAAACAATTTGCATATAGCTTTGTTTTCCCTCTCTCTTTCTCTCTCTCTCTTTCTCTCACTCCCTCTTGTTATGTAATTACAATGATGATAATCTATCTAAGGATCATCATTTGTTGTCAAAAAAAAAAACTGCGAGAGTGGAAATAGTTGAAAAATAACAAACAAACACTATAAATATCTGTAGAAAACATAACTTCATATGGCTATACTACTAATGATAATGATCATCATCATTGCATCAAAGATTATCATTATCATCATCAAGACAAAACAAACAAATCATAATTGATAGTTTTTTGAAAATTTGTTCCCTCTCTCTCTCCTTCTGCTTCTAAATTTATTAAGTGTCATTCATTGGATTTTTTCAAAATTTTTGATGAACATTGTGTGTGGCTTTTCAACAACTTTTTTTTATCGACAACAACAACAATCAACAACAACAACAACAACAACAAAAGGACAACAACAACAACAATCAACAACAACAACAACAAAAGGACAACAACAACAACAAATTCTTACTATAATAAACACTATAATGAATAATGAATAATCATCATCATCATCATTGATGAGATAAGAGGGGATTTATTCATTCATTTTTTGTTTGTTGTTGTTGCTTTGGACAACAATTTCAAAAGCAAAAAAAAAAACAGAATTTGAAATGTAAAAACTTACATGATGCATCATCATTGACCATAATTTCCGGTGATGAACGATTACCAGTTGCTGTTGCTGCTGTTGTTGTTGATGATGATGATAAATGATGTCCAGTATTATTCATCATTAATGGACCATTCATTATTGATCGTTGATGATTTGATATTGTTGATGCCGAAGTTGTTGCGGATTGATGATGATGACCACCACCACCACCAATAGTTGATGATGGTGTATGATGTACAATTGTATTTGGCTGTTGTTGTTGTTGTTGTTGGGAATTATGATTCATATGTTGACCACTGGATGACAGCAGTGATTCTAAAGATGTTGTTTTCGATGGACTATTATTCAATTGTTGTTGTTGCTGCTTTGCTGTTGATTTTGTTGTTGTTGGCGATGATATTTTTGTTGTTGTTGTTGTTGTCGATATTGTTGTTGTTGATGATGTAGATGTTGTTGTTGTTGTTATTGTTGATTTTTGTTGTTGTTGTTGTGCTTGTTGTATCATTTTTTGATGTTGTTCAGGTGAAATAACTTCCGGTACAGCAATACCAAGCTCTTCTTCTTGTTCTTGTTGTCGACGTAATGCAACCTGTGCTGCCATTATTTTTTTACGTTGATTTGTTAGATCACATTTTGCACACTGACAATCTTTCCATAGACAAAAACGTTTATGATCTACAAAAGAAAAAATGAAAAAGTGAAATTCGTAAAAGCAAACGGATCAACGCATAAGAATTGCCAAGGCTAAAGGTCAAAAGGCAGAGTCTATTCAAAACACGCACACACACACATTACACACCTACCGATAATTATAAGGAGGAGATTCTTTCTTTAGTCATTCTAAACATTCACTATTTTCTCTTTAACATTGTAAACACTGTTAAACTCAAGAGGGTAACATATTAGCAAAGAATTTTCAACAATATTCAGACATTTCTGGAATAAACCAGAACAACAACAAAAAAAACGTGACCATCATGATGTAGGCTGATGATCATTAAGGAAATAGGTCCAAAATAGGAAAGTACTTGATTGATTGATTGATTTGATTTGATCTGGAATCTTTTTTAAAAAACATTTTCTTTTTTCCCTCTTTCTTAATGGTTTGGAGGGCCTCTGAACATTACATAATCAACAAGATTTACTTAAAAATAGTTGTTTAAAATTGGCAACCGAATAAGCTAAATTCCAAGTAACTAATCGAAATTGTCCTTGGACAAAACTAAACGAAGTTTATTCACAAAACACACTCACGAGAATTTCGTAAACGAACACACAAAAATGTTTACAACGTAATGTCTGTTTGGTTAGTTAGTTAGTTGTTAGTTGGTTTGACTGTCTGTTTCTAGTTATAATCGTAGACCACACAAATACTTTCACACACACTGAACACATCCGTTTTTTGGTTCTTAATTCTGTGAATTGAAAATGAAAATTTTCAAAAAAAAAAGCTTGGAAATAAATTCATTGGAAACAAGGATTTTCATCAGTTTTTTTCATTTTGGTTTTGGAGTTTTTTTTTGGTTAACAAACGACTTTCCAATGTCAATCAACCAATCTTTTTTGTCAAAACGCATTTTTGACACATCCAGATATTGAATGGCATGACATGATATCATTCATTTAACTCAAATTCTACGGGAATTAATTACCGAAAAAGCAAAACAAGAAATTAATCAAATCAAATATGAATCCAATCTTGTGGTTATTATTTTTTTCTTAATCCTTCGTTATTTTCAAAATATTCACATTTCTCAATCGAGTGTTGTCTATGTTTTCTTTTTGTTTTTTTTTCATTTCATCAATCAATCAATCGATAAAAAAACAACAGCAACAAGAAAACAGAATTGAGTTGATTCTGCAACAGAATATATTAATAAATTCAGAAAGAATCTTAGAAGGATCAATGAAATTCTAGTGTGTTATGGAATGAAGCCAGAATATTCCAGTTTTGTATGTTGAAATTGGGGGATAGAAAAATAGTTATTGTTCTTGTTCTTGTTATTTACAAAAGAATTATTTGTAATTCTGTGTTTTTTCTGTAACAAATATAATTTGTAAATAACCATATGGTAAAAACTGGCTAAAGGAAACCATAACAAAAGAACAGAGAAATTTTCTGGAAAAGCCCAGGAAAAAA